AATATATATATGAGCAATGAGAAACTTGATTTATGTTCTCTTTCGGAATTACAATCACAGTATTGTCATTTATAATAGGTACTTCTACGAGAGAAGAAGAGAGGGAAAGCTCTAGACTCTGTTGCAAATTTCCACTTGCAAAATGGGGCAGTAAGTGCTATTTTCATATTTGGATCACTAAAGAAATGCTATAACGTGCAGAATCGGTAGTTTATTGCCGCCAGGAAGGATTTGATCTATATACACTACAAAATAAACACCTTTTAGCAATACTGCTACCTAGGATGAGCTACTTGCGATGGACTGAAGAGATTCATACACGTACACAACAACTAAATGTTCACAAAGTTGAAAATTACTTTGCTAATCTGGTTCTTTCCTTTTACCTCCACTCTTGACAAAAATGAAACAGATGGTTGAAAGAATAAATTGGATGGCCGATCGATCAGAGAAAGGCCTTGACCAAAGTGGAGGTATCATGGTGAACTATATCTACAGGTAATTCTCCCCTCAAAGTCTGAGCAAACAATTTTTTTTCTTTCAAAATCATATTGTTTATCACCAGGCAAGAAAACTAAGATCCTGCCCTTTGGTTTATATAACTGTAAATGTTAGTGTAAAATTTGTTTGGGGATGTCAAGTTGTTTCTACGTACTAGAGTTCCATTGAACATAAAGATTTTAACTGGGACTGAGGCTTCAAATTTGAGCTGCATGTACCGAGGATGAATGATATCGATCATTGAATTGCAGGTTGGATTATATTGAAGAATATGCTCAGTCGTATTTCAGCACTGGCCATATCCATGCTTCATCTGATGTAAGATGCTACATTGAGGTAATATATTGTCACACTATTTGATGAAAAACTATTGCATGATCTGGTGCTATGTAAGAATTGTTGATGATGAACCGGTCAAAAGATCTTTTGTCAACAATGTTAACTATGGACTGGGATTATGCAATACATTCTCATTGATGACAGGGATACACAAGTCCCATTGTTGATCCTTTACTCTCGTTTTTGGTTCCTTTTGCAGCCACTAAGCGACAATGAAGCAAAAACTGATTGATTGAAGATGGATTTCCCCTACTTGCCTTGTTTGTTTGTTAATAAGTGATAGATGAACTTGACTTTCAGCAGGTAGTTTGGTCAGAAGGAAAAGTGGAATGATGAGAAAGATGAAAGGAAAACGGGACCGGGTCACATTTTTCTCTATTACGTCAATGGAGAAAAACATTGGAGGTTGGAGGTTCAAATCATTCTATCTCATTACTTTCTCCTTGGCCGGAAGATGCAGTAATGTGATTTCATTTCCAAGGAAAATGAAAAAACTGATAAAAGGAAATGTGTATAATGTACAATGCCCCATTGCTTTGCCTCTTTGTTCTTGTTTTTGTTTTTCATATTTTTATTTTCTTCTCTCATAAAAACATTTATAGTTTCCTTTTGAAAAAGTAAATAGCATTTTCCAATACCATTCATTCAATAAAAGAAAACCCAGAACACATCCAACCAATCCCAGGTTCCTGGAAGCCTAATTCTTTCACAGTTATCATTCATTCATATTGTTAGAATCTTCAAATAGTATAGATTATAATTATGCAACTGAGAGCTATAACAATCAGTCAATGATTATTGTGCCATGAGGATACATCGAATTCGTACAGATGAGAGCAGACCGAGGAAAAGAGCAAAAGAG